ATAGGTTCTTACCTCCCTGCTGGGCTGGGTGCCTGAATTATTGAGACTTTTGGTTAGTCAGGGCAGAGGCCAGGTGTCAGCTCCCTGTGTCTCAGGACAGCGCAAGCCAGCTGGGGCTCAATGGATAGGAGCCAGGGCTTGCAGTCCTCAGCTTTCTCTGGCAGAGCCAGCCAGGAGCGGAACAGCCCACGAGGCCAAGGAGAAGGGGCAAATGCTGTAATGCGTTGCCTGCCTGACCCCCTTGCAGCCCCCTTGGTGCTGGGGGGTTCGGGCAGAGGTGGGCAGGGACCGGCCTGGTTCTGTGAATGCTTCTGGTTTCTGTTCCAGGGACGGCCAGGAGGTAGCAGTGGTGTACTACAGAGAGGGCTACGTGCCAAAGAACTACGACCAGCAGGTCAGTACTGACCGCTCTGCTCGGAGAAGCCACCCACGCTGTGGCCTTGCCCAGCGAGTTTGAAACGCCCTGTGATCCCAGGGGCATCTCTCCTGTCCTGGGTGGCGTTAGTCCTGTCCCACATGGCTGATAGCATAGGGAAGCTGTAACTCCGCAGTGCATGTGGGTGTCCCTGGCGCTCACGCAGTAAGAAAAAGGAGTGGCTTTCTTCTCCAATAACCACTCATGTGGTGACCTCTTACTGCAGCACTGAATTGCTTCTGTACAATAACACAGGTATTAGCACCTGCTTAAAGGGTTTAGACTTGAGCTACAGATCACACTCGTCCTCTACTAGGAGTATTAGGCTGCAGGTAATAATAATAATACAGACCAAATCTTGCTGTTGTCTGGAGGTGGCAGCACTGGACAAGCTGGGGAGGGGGTGCAGGCAAAGGCAGTGGACTAATCCGGCTGTGCTGTTTCCAGAATTGGTGAGAAATCCATGTACGCGTGTCTGCTTGTCTCCAGAGTGCTATTCCCACCCCCCATCCCTGCCAGGCAGGGAGGGAGGAGGCAAATTGTATGTCAATAACTGAACAGAAAAGAGTGGAGAAAACCTTTTGTTTTTTGGCTGATGGGATGGTTGCTCTCTTTCTGTCTCAGAACTGGGAGGCACGGTTGTTGCTGGAGAGATCGAGGGCAGTGAAGTGCCCTGACATTGCTACCCAACTCGCAGGCACCAAGAAGGTCCAGCAGGAACTGAGCCGGCCAGGGACGCTGGAGAGATTACTGCCCGGCCGCGCCGAGGCTGTCACTCGAATAAGAGCAACGTTTGCTGGACTCTATTCCCTGGATGTGGTGAGTGTGAGCGGGGCTGGAGCAGGAACAGACATGCAGACGTTTGCTTGGCCTGCGCGATGTTTCTCTTTGGTTAAGAAGATGAGAGGGCTTTGTTGTGGTCCCTGGGGGACCCTGTTGATCCTGCTCAGAGGGGTCTGTCGAGGAGCCCCTGCTCCTCCCTGACACTTTGCTGTTGCCATCCTTTCCTGCCAGGGCGAAGAGGGCGACAAGATAGCTGCTATGGCTATTGCTGACCCTGACCAGTTTGTGCTGAAGCCGCAGCGAGAAGGTGGAGGTATGAGCTGGACTGGGTCCGTGGGGGTTTTCATTGCGGTTCGTGCTGTATCCAGGAGAGGCAGTAGCTCTGTGATGGCTCCTGCTCCTGTGCTGAGGGGTGAAAGGTGGGGTGGGGTGGCTTGTAGCTGCTTGTAGCCACGAGGACTAGTCATGGCAGTAAGGTAATGCTGCTCCTGCTCCTTAGGCCCCAGAGCTGGGGTGTGGGGAGACCAGGCAGCACGTGGGGAGGCAAAGGGTGGGTCTGTTTAGGCTGCTGGGGCCAGCGGCTTCTGCTGTGCTGGGAAGTGCTTGACTTGCTGGTTTTGTTGTCAGGGAACAACCTCTATGGTGAAGAGCTCAGGCAGGTTCTGGAGAAGATCAGAGACAGCCCTGAGAGAACCTCCTACATCTTGATGGATAAGATCAAACCACAGCCAGCAATTAATTACTTACTGAGGGCTCACAGTCCCCTACAAGTGTCCGAGTGCATCTCAGAGCTCGGTATTTTTGGTGTCTATGTCAGGTGAGAAATGTGCTTGCGTTACGGGGTGGTTACCTGCTCCAGCCGGCACTTGGGTTGGGAGCGTTTTTCCCTCTGCGCTGTCTGAGCACAGCGGCAGGGCAGATGTCTCTTGGGAGGTGGTGGTACAGGGGACAGACGTGACCATTCAGTCTCTGCCCCTGTCAGCAGCTCTCTGAGCACTAGGACCTGGGCAGGTTGTTGAGTTGATGTCCTGCCTTGACAGCGTGTTCCGACGCTGAACTGCTGCTCTGTACCTGCTGCCAAATGAGTTGTTGAAAAACTGCAGAGCTGGTGCTGGCCATTATGGGTGTAACAGCCACGTGGAACTGGCGTGTCTCATCTCTGATTTCTGGGAGCACTTCTCAGGTTCTGGATGCAGCCACATGCTTTCTGAAGCCCTGGTGATCTCAGAAATATCTGAAGGCTTAATGCGGTCGTGTTCGACCCTAAATAGCTGCTGCTTTTGTTTAAAACCCTCACGGGCCCATAGAAATGTTTCCGTAGTTTATAAATTAAAGTCCTTCTTGTACAATTTTAGAAACAAATGTACTCTGGCAGCGTTCAGAACCTGACACTGCCTGTGTGCAGAGCAATCAGACCAAAATGGCCCAGCTGAAAAGGGCACTGTTGCTGGCAGGCACAAAACAGGGGCGGCTCTGTTGTCTGCAGAGACCTCTGCATTAGCCCTGGGGCTTTTACTTGCCCGTTACCTGCCCTGCGCTTTGGCAGGGAACGTGAATCAAATTGTCCAAGATGAAATGCCATAAGCTTTCTGCTCTGCAGGTGCTCAGTTGCCCTTTTCTTTGCAGACAGGGCAAGGAGATGGTGATGAACAAGGCTGCCGGCCACCTCCTGCGGACGAAGGCGATTGAGCACGCAGACGGTGGGGTAGCGGCTGGGGTGGCAGTGCTGGACACTCCTTACTTGGTGTGAGGAGGCGATGCCCCATCCTGCCCACCTCCCTCTGCTGCCCGAAGAGCTGATCTGCCACAGCGATGTTCTCCTTAGGGTGCACTTACCAAGGTCTGACATGTTGGGGACGGTGAGGAGGGACTGCATGGACACAACTGCTCAAACGTCCTGCGTCCCAGCCCCAGCTTCTCCTCTGCCATTCCTTCTGCAGGAAGAAGGGACTTCCTTGCTCTGCCTGCTCAGGGGGCCCTGCCCCATGCGCATCCCAGCTGTGACCTCCCAGGACTGCATTGCTCTGGGTGTTCCCTTGGGGTCTAGCCTGCGGGCAGGGGTACGTACAGCAGAACAGGCACTCGCGCTGTTCCCAGTTTCGTGCTCCTTGATGCTGCATTATTTCTGGAGACACAAACGCAAAGCCTAGGGAATGGGAGGAGAAAGGTGGATGCGCAAGTAACAGCCTTCATCTGTGGGAATTGTGGCCCAGTGCCTCAGTGCTTTCCAGGTTAAAGAGGGGAGCCCAGCTCCACGTGCCCATGGCCCCTCCAGCCCTCCTTCAGCTGCTGCCCTGATTTCTACTTTTCCCAGTGCCTGAGGATCCTCAGGGTTCCTGCACAAGGGACAGCTGCCCTGGTGTAATGTGCCCAAGGGCCTCTTGCTTGCTTTTGCTTTGCCCAACTCCTGCTTTGTTGGACTGGGTACTCCTCCCAAACAGCGCTTCACTCTGGGACCAGCACCAGCGGATGATGAGACATGTCTCCCTCCAGGTTTCATGAATCAGTGGGAACAGCGCAGCAGTGGAGGGACACACAGGCATGCAGGCTCTCCATCCCATGGGCTTTTGCCTCTTCCTCTACTCCTTTTCCTCCTCAGCCGAGCAGTTCAAGGGGAAACAAAAGGTGTGCCTTTCTGGCAGTGCCCTGGTAAAGCACCCAGGCAGCCTCAGCTCTACCCTTTTAGTGACACCAGAGAGAAGCAGTGTAAAGCCAGTATTTCTGAAGAATGACTGTGCCGAGTGACAGACCTGCACCCTGCTGGGCGCATTGCCGCGGTGTGGCAACGCTGTGTGCTTCAGTTAGCAATCTTTCACCTTGGAAAGAGTTCAGTTCTGTAAGTGTGACTGATTCTGTGATTCCTGGGTGGTTGTTTCATTAGGGGGTGTTGAGTACCCTCAGCCAGAGATTAAAACGTACGTGCAATCTGAACACTGTTCTTGTGCTAACTTTGTCTGAGACTAGATGCGAAGGGCAGGCAGGGCGTCTGGGCAGCCGTACACCTGTGCACGGCCCTTTCATGTACCTTCACACTGGGGACAGCTAAAGCCAACCCACCAGTTTCTGCTCTGGGTGCTGTAAGGCTGCGCAGCACCCTGTCGGAGATGTATCCTGGCACTCGGCTCTGCAGCGCTGGCCCAGCACAACCAGTGGATGGAGAGCTGCTGGTGTGGGGGGGTGCCAGGTAAGACAGGCTTGGGGAGGAAACACTCTCAGCCTGGCGCTGTGACTGTGCAGTTTGCTGGAGCAGCAAGGGCCACAAGGTTAGATGCAGCTGTGAGGAGCAGGAGGAGAGCACTGTAGCAGGGCCCCTGAGCTGCTGGAGGCAGCTGCTGGTGAGGCCTGAGCCAAAGGTGACATTGGAGGCAGGGGCTGGTATCCATTGCTGTGCCTGGGTGAGGACCAGGCGTGGAGGGGAGGCAGCTATCAACAGCCCCGAGCCTCCTTGGGTGCTTGTCTGTCTCCCTGGCATTGGTCCTGCGTAAGGGGGTTGATGACAGATGGGCGTCGCGCTGTCTTGTGCTTTCCATGAGCCTTAGTGGAACAATGTTGGCTGGAGACCAGGGAGAAACTGAGGCACAGGCTCCAGCCCTGGAGCCAGAGCTTCTGCCCTTGCCCCAGTGCAGAGCAGCAGCAGACTTGAGTCACAGCCTGTAACTCCCAGTCCATGAAAGAGCGTCGCACTGGCAGTCGCCTACCCCGGTTATGGCATGGCAGGTACAACAGCAATGTCTGAGCACCCCCATCTCCCCTAGACTCAACAGCAGACAAGCACCTACAACCCAAGCACATGCTCTAAGCCTGTTTCCATTTTGTTTTCTTGAATTTTATTGCATTTTGCATAAAATTCTAGCTGTTTCCAGCCAAAACAACATAGCAGACAAAGAGTAAGAGAGGCGGAGAGATTATGTAGGAATCCTTGTCAACAAGGTGGCACGATCCAGTGGTACAGAGCTGTGGGGGACACATGGGACACTGGCACACACTGAGGTTACAGATCACAGACAAGTGCCATGCCAGTGAGAGCAGCAGGTAAGAAGTGAGACTTGGACAACAGCCCACCAGAGCACCTGCAACACTTGCCCTGAGCAACCAGCCTCAGAGGCAGTTGCCTCATCCTTTCCAGCCCAGCCAAAAGTCAGCTCAGTTTGCAGGTAAAGCCTGTATGTTGGCACTCGCCAGACCAGCTGTTGCAGCAAGTTTTAAAGCCCGTTTCTCCTTTGGTTTAAGTGCAAAATTGAACAGTTCACATGCAATTTTTATACAGACATTACAAGGGGGAGGGATTTCCCAGCATGACCCAGGGCTGGAGTTAAATGTAATTCATTTGAAGAAGAATAGCTTTGGCAGTATCCTTGTGAGGTTCAGGCTCTCAGGCTAGAGGTTTTGGGGTTTTTTCCTCTCATCATCATCATAAACCCATGTCAGATTTAAGCAAAAGCTAACTTTAAACATCTTCCACCATTTTCTTCCTGATGAGAAAACATCATTGAGGATTAACACAGCCCTGCCTGCCTTGGTTTCTTTGCTGTAGGAATGGTCATGGGACCATGCACCTGGTTTGCCTGCAATGGGAAAGGTGCCTCTGCATGGAAACAAAGGTTTCCCCTCCATCCTTTAGTATCAACAGCACCCAGGACACAAAAGGAGCATCCAGCTGCAACAGCCTGTGAGTTCAGCTGTGAGCTGGTGGAAGCAGTGCTCTGTGGAGCATGTCAGACCAAGACCATGTCTATGGCCAGTGAAGGCCTCTGGGTTGGGAAAAACACACCAGCTGGCACCATGCAGTTCAGAAGTAGCAGGTCTTGGTACCAAACTGCTCTAAAAAACTTGTTTAAAGCATAGAGCTCCCTTAAGCCTTGCCACACTCCCTTTCCAGCTAGGGGACCTCTGCTAGCAGCAGGCTTGGACAGTGGATGCAAGACTAAAACTCAGCTATACAGTTATGATGTGAGAGTGTTTTTAAGTTCTCCCACAGCTTGCAGCACTCCAAGTAGAAAAGGAAGCTTAGCTGGCACGTGGGCAGTGGCAGATGCACCTCCCTTGCCTGCCTGCATTGAGTAACTCCAGCACCACTTCCCCTCCAACCCCCAAAGTTCCTTCCCACTGTGCGCAAAGTGCCAGAGTCCCTCAATTACATGAAAAAGTTAATTAACCCCCCCCCAAAAAAATTAAAAATCAAGAACGAGGAGCTGAAAAGGGAGGAGGATGAGCCCCTCCGTGCACGAGGCTGAACCTCAGATGTGTGATACCCATCTGGAACATGATGCACACACTCTTCCAAAGCATGGACATGCTAGTGAGGCACAGCCTCTCCAGAGCCAGCTTTTCCCTCGTTCGTAACGTTTGTACATTCAATTCAACAGGTGAAGGTTTCCTTCCCAGGGCAGACAGCAGTTACTCAAGGGACCTGCTCATCAGGACAGTGCTGCTGCTACAGTTCTGCTCAGCAGGGACAGGTCATGCTGCTACTCTTTAGTGTCACATCTGCTGCTGAAAAGATGTTTTATGATGCCCGGGTTTGCCAAAGTGGAGATGTCTCCTAGATCTTGGTCATTTTTGGCAATCTTCCGTAATATCCGTCTGGTAATCTTTCCTGTAATGACAGCCATGAAAGGAAAGCAGGAGTCAGGATCTCTTCAAGCATCCTTAGCAGGAGCGGGGAGTGCCAGACCTGCAGCATCCTGCTTGCCCTGAGGTTGCTCCCCCCTGAATTTGAGCAGCCCTGGACAAGCAATTTAGGGCTGATTTCCTTCCACTGGCAGGAACTACTCAGTCCTCCCCAGCACTGTCACTGGGCCCCTTACCTGAGCGGGTTTTGGGCAGGCTAGGGGCATACTGGATGTAATCAGGCGTTGCTATCGGTCCGATTTTTTCTCTGACTAGAAGGAAAAAAAAAAAAAAAAAAAAGATTTTCATTGTAGGTACTAGGAGATACCACACACATCCTTTTCAGGCAGGATGACCAAGTTAAGGCATGGAGAGCCCAGCTCCTGGGGAACCTGGTAGGGCAGTGCTTAGGGCTGCTGCATCCCAGCCTCAAGGCTGTGGGAGGGGGCAGCAAGACCTGCAATGCCAACGGGGCTATAAGCACATCTTCCCAAAGGCAAGAGCACTCATTTTTATTCTCTCCATCTTCAAGAAACCTCTATAATGGCTACACCAATCACTATCACCATTTTGATAGAGCAAGGACTGATTCGCTGTTGGGTTCCTACAGAGAAGAAACTGCCATGGGTCCGTTTCATGTATTAAATGCTGTAGTCTGTTGTGGCAATGAAAGAGCTCCCTTGAGACCAGAGCACAAACACCCAGAGCACCACCCCAAAGCAACCGAACGATCCTCACAGCAAGTCAAAATCTGCCAGGGAGAGCTGTGGGAGCCATGCCCACACACGCGAGCACTGCTGCAAACGAAAGCCTGCCGGGTACCCCAATCCTTCACGCGGCTGCCAACTCCCAAGAGGTAGAGATGGCATCACATGAGCAGCCAAAGGCCGGGAGAACTAATTTTAGTCTTCGCCAGCCGTGCTCTCTAATCAGAGGGGGCACCTTGTCACAGTTGTCCATGATGCATTCCCCAGACTACACGCACCCTCGTTCAAGCACCCAAGCCCTTAACCCCTCCATCACCTGCCCAGCACTGTCCTCCCTCTCCCTGCCACATAACCTCCCAAATATCTGGCTGTTGCCACCTTGTTTTTTCAGCTCATCCGTCAGGTTCTTGGTGAACTCGTGGCCATCTCTCAGGGTCACGAAGCAGTAGAGGCACTCGCCTTTCAGGGGGTGTGGGTGGCTGACCACCGCAGCCTCTGAGATGGCAGCGTGCTCGAGCAAGGCTGACTCTACCTCTGCAGTGCTCAGCAAGTGGCCTGGAAGCAAGGAGAGGCAGTTTTACAGACCCACACGGGGCTGGGGTCCTGAAGCCTCCCAGCAGCTGGGAGGAAGAGGTCTGCAGGTGTAAAAGGCCCTAAACAATAGGTTTGAGAGCATCGATTTCATTTGAGAAAAGACAACAGTTGGAGAGAGAAACTAATTTCAGCAGTCCAGGGCTGAGCTGCCCCGAAGGCTGCCAGATATCACTCACCTGCAGAGCAAGGCCACCTCCCCTGGCTGTTCTCCCTCCCACCTTTAGGCTTCTTTCTTTAACAGATCCCGAGCTGTTCACAGCCATGGGATTAAACAAAGCACAGGCTGAGGAGGAGCTGGATTTGGTAAGAGGAGACCTGCCCACATGGTCAGCTGGAACATGCAGAGGAGGAAGAGGCTGGATCTGCAGAGCCCAGGAACCGGCCCTGCCATGCACTGCTCCAGCTCATCACCATGGGGAGATGAAACAACGCTCCACATCTTGGGGCAGGGGCACAACTCACTCCTGTACACCTCTGCTCCTGTACCTGCACTCTGACATTCCACCCTGGGACTGCTGTCACAGGAAACCATGGGAAGGTGGTCAACTCCCAGAATGATCAGCTGGTGGAGGATCAAGCACTGCTGGTCAGATGAAAGGATCTAGTTTGATCCAGCGACAAGTACAGCAGCATCTCACAGCCAGCAGCAAGTACCTGTAGGCTACAGCCTCCAGGAAAGGAGGAAGGGAGCTATTAAAGGCAGTATATGGAAAATGGTGGGCTGAGAAGCAACTGAATCTCAAAGACTCAGTCAAGAGAGGTGGGAGAATCTCCACCTCTGTAGACAGCTCCGAGCAGCCTGATCCAGCTTTGAGGTTAGCCCTACATGGAGCAGCAGGTTGGATTAGGAACCACATGGTCCTGCCCAACCTCTGTGCTTCCCTGTGGCCCTAAATCCTTCAGCACAGAGGCACCTTGACTGGTTAAGGACCTCCTCTAAGAGATTACAGAAGGCTCCTTCCCTCCAGTGTGTTGTCTCCAGAGGAAATGATGCAGAAAGTCACCAAGTCACAGACTTGTCTGTCTCAGAAATAACCCTGACCCAGCAATTAGATCCACTTTGAGGACAGGTTGCTGGGCAGAGTCACGGATGCAGAACTGTCCCCCGTAAAGCAAGGTGTCTCTCTCAACTACTGTCAGAAAGCACATTGGTCCCCACTGAAGACAAACCTCGTTCTTACCAGAAACATTCAACATGTCATCAATTCGCCCTGTGATCCAGTAATAACCATCTTTATCTCTCCTGCAACCTAAAAATAGCCAGAAATGACAGCGTGAGGAAGCAGTGCCAGCTCTTAGAGCAACTGATAAGGGATTCTGAGGCCAGGACACGGCAAGATTTAAATTGCTGTCCCCAGGCCTCTGCAGCCACACACTCCCTGGACAATCTTACCGTCGCCTGTCACATAGTACCCAGGGAACTTCTTGAAGTATATGGTTTCAAATTGCTGGTGGTTTCCATACAGCGTGCGCATTATTCCTGGCCAGGGCTGCTTAAATACCTGATGGTGAAAAATGCAGACCTGAGTCAGTGAGAGGAAAACCAGTAACCCAGGCCTTGCACTACGGCAATAGAAGCATGCAGTCTTTGCACGCGGTGATAGAGATGCCAGAGAGACAGCCACGAGTGATGACACTCAGACACTTGCTGCCCAGCGCTGATCTACTGGGGAAGTCTCACCAGGCTTGGCATGTGGGAAGGAGCTTGGCTGAACAGTTGTTCCCGTCCTCCTGCCTTGCCCATGTGTGCAACTGCATTTAACAATCAGTTGAACAGTTTGTTTACAGCATAAAGCTCCCAGTGAGTTATGGCAGTGAAGGGAGTTCCTATCACCCAAGGGGGTTCCTTGTGTAGACCCAGAGTAAGCAGAGACACGTGTATACTACCAGGAAGGTCCCGGTGCTCACAGGGAACGGACAAGGGGAGGGTGGGGAAGATCAGCCCTTCTTTACCAGGTAGCCTTCTGCTTCTCCTTCCAGCTCTTCCCCCGACTCGTTCAAGATGGCAGGGACCACACCGAAGAAGGGGAACGTCTGCCATGGGGACCAGAGAGCAAGGAGACATTGAGGTGAGCCCACGCATTAAAGCCTCATAACCAGAGGGAGTGCAAGGCAGAGCAAGGGCAGCTTTGGAGAGGCTGTGGCACATGGGGGCCTGTGAGCACAGCTGCAAGGGGCCAGGCCTGGGATTTTGGGTGGTGGCCACCTCCCTGCATGCACCACTGTCCCACAACCACCCTGGCAGGCTGGTAACCACCAGGCTGTGGTACAGACAGTGCCAGCTGCTGCTGCAGTGCCCCCGGGGAGCCCTCCCTGCCCCTGGGGAGAACAAGTACTCACAGCAGAGCCCGGTTTCATGGGGGTGGCGGCAGGGAGGGGTGTCAGCATGTGGCCACCCTGCGAAGAGAGGTAAAAGCAAGTGAGTTTGGGCCATGCCAGTCCATCCCACAGCTGTTCGCATTGGCTCTGGTCACATCACATCCCAGGCTGCTCGGGGCAGTTGTGGAGATGGGGCCTTGGGAAGGATACGGCAGGGGACAGGGAGCTTGTGTTTGGGCATGAAGCTTTGGAGCTGCTGGGGGAGAGAAAGAGAGGGAGGAGAGCAGGGTCCAGAGCAGACCTTGGCAGGCACCCTTTGGAGAGGAAGGTCTCCCCTCAGAGCCTGTTTGAGGTCCAGGAAAGAAAGAAGAGAAGGAGACACTTGCAGGCCACACCAGAGTCTCCTGGGCAAGCAAAACAACTAGTCCACATAGAACCAAAGCAAATCTGCAAAGGCACCCTGCAGGGAGCATAATGGAAAGAGAGGTCCCAGGGACAACCAGGCGAGTACTCACTGTCTCTGTCTGCCAGAACGTGTCCACAATGGGACACCTCTCTTCTCCCACCACACAGTAGTACCACAGCCAGGCTTCAGGGTTGATGGGCTCTCCAACGCTCCCCAGCACCTTCAGAGACTTCCTGCTGTGCCTGCAGAGAGGAGGGGGCTGGCAGGGGCTCAGCAGGCCATGGAGAGCAGCAGCTGTGAGCCTGCTGCACAGCAGAGCCTGCAGCAACCCCTGGGCTACCCAAAGTGTACTTGGGGCTTCCAGGCATAGTTCAGACCCTTCTCAGCCCTCTTCCATGGGGAAAGAAAGGAGACCTCTGATTTTGGTGTCTCCCACTCCAAGCTCCCACTTGGCTCTGCTCCTTCCCTTCCTTGGGCCAAGGAGCAGCACGCGGAGGGGCTCTCTGCCCAGCACACCTCCGTGAGCTTTGGGTTAGGAGCAGGGAGAACCTGCAGTCTCTGAGCTTAGCTGCAGCTTACGGTGAAAGAGGAGGACCTGCTCAGAAGTGCCATAATGAAGTTAGTGCTGGGAGTGCAGAAACATAGCCTGCATATTGCTGTGTAGAAGGCAGAAGATCCTGGTCTGTTCAGAAAACACACTGGGGAAGCTGCTGCTCAGCGAGGAAGCTGGGGTCCCTGGTCCCCCATCGAGAGCCTCTGGCTGTGCCAGAGCCAGGGATCCCTGTGCCACTGGGGACTGGCACTCACTTTTTGACGGGCTCCTCCCCGTGCTTCATCAGCAGCCGGATAGCTGTGGGTGCTGTGTAGAACTTGGTCACCTTGTACTTGTCAACGATGCTCCACATTCGCCCAATGTCTGGGTAAGTGGGGACACCTTCAAACTGAGCAGGAGACAGGGCAGTGACACAGCCGGTCCTTACTGCTACCGACCTGCCGCACCTTCCCAAGCAGGAGAAGCCGAGAGCAACAGGGAACAGCAGTTGGACCCTAGCATGTCCTTATAGGAATGCCAGGGGCACCACACAGTGAAACCAGCCCAGTCCAGGGACCTCTCTTACTGCTTCCTTGGGATGGATTTGGCATCACCCCACCCCAGGTGTCCTAGCAAATGTCCCCCGAAACACCCTAGCAGCACAGGCACTTGGGTGGCTACCACAGTGACACAGTCCCACCAGCCCAAACGACCCTGCCCACATGGTAAAGGGCGAGAGGCCCAAACACAGTGACAGAACCACAACCAAAAGTACCAAGAACCCCAAGAAGGGCTCCCCAACGTGACAGTGATTTTCCTGCTTGCATTCCCCCAGGGACTCTTGAGCACAGGCCTCTGGCTCCCTGATCTGTATACAAGTTAGAGCTGTACACTGCCAAGGGAGATACAGGCACAGGAGTTAAATGCAGGTTGTCAAATCAGCATCAGCAGTGAAAACATCACTCTCTGCTCCTGATCCAGCTTTCGCATTACCCCGCAGCAGCCCTGGCTCCCCTGGTACACAAGGCTTGTACTTCTAAGGGAAAGAAACAAGGGAGCATTTGAAAAATTAACCACCCAAAAGCCACACACAAACTAGCCCCCTGTCTGCCACCGAGCGGTCACCCATGCCCTCCTTGGGGACCGCCATCCTTCCTCACAGAGCCCAGGGCACTGCACACAAGTGAGAAGCACGCTCATCACAGAGCAATGCAGGGACGCAGCTCAGCACCACGATCTCCACTTCCTTGGAGTAAAAGCACCCAGCTGCCATCCAGCACTTACTAACACACTAGTTGCCCCGTTTGCCAAGGGTCCGTAAGTGAGGTAGGAATGGCCCGTTATCCATCCAATGTCAGCTGTGCACCAGTAGACATCCTCAGGTTGGTAATCAAACACATATTTAAATGAGGTGGCAGCAAAAAGCATGTATCCACCCACCGTATGCAGCACACCCTACAAGGAGAAGGCACGCAACTGTCAGGGCAAACTCCCACCAGGTCCCTCACCCTCCCAGGCCAAGCTGAGCATCACCAGTCCACTGAGCTTGAACAGCAGCTGAGCAGGAATGACCAGCACAGCCCCTTTCCCAAGGCCTCCATGGCTCCTCTTCTTACTGGGGCCTCCCAACATGACCCTCACCAGTTCCCACAGCTGAGGTGTTACTGTGGTTCAGCCCGGCCCTGTGGGCAGTGAGCTGGGAAGCATACCTTGGGTTTCCCTGTTGAGCCACTTGTGTAGAGGATGAAGAGTTCGTCCTCCGAGTCACACCACTCGGGCTCGCACTCCGTGCTGGCACTGCTCATCAGCTCGTGCCACCACATGTCCACGGCTGTGTTCCAGGGGGTCTGAGAAAAGCAGAAGATTAGAAATAGGCCCACCCAAAAGCAAGAGAGGGGGGCAATGAGGGGTGCAACCCCAACCTCACCCCCCGATGGACCATCGAGGCAGATGTTCACAGCACAGCTTCTGCCCCAGAGCTGTTTGCTGCAAACCATGCACCAGAGCTGCAGCTCCCACTCCAGAAGCTCTTTTTTGCAGCCCACAGCCACAAGGAAAACCTTTAAACATGGTCTGGCTGCAAGACCTGAAGCAGATTTTCCAAACCACTGGTAACACTGATAAATCCCTCTCAGCAGCCGCAGCCAGGAGAGGGCCTGCAGCAGCAGCTGCTCTGCACTCTCACAGCAAACAGGCTCCTCCTGCCCTCCTGGGCTGCCCTGAGCTGCAGTTGAACAGCAAAGCAGCAAGCCTCACTTAGCACAGCCACACACCCACCTGTCCCGCACACCTTGCAGGGACCCCTATGGCAGCATGGCCCGAGACAAACAGAAACACGTTAGGCTCACACTGCTTGGCCCTGCAGACCCAAAAAAGAAATCTGTTATCTGGATTTTAAGGTAATTACCCTGATAAGAAGTGACTGCTCCAACGCAGAACCACCCAGCACTGGCCACCCGAAGGAGCTGCTCAAGGATGCCAGAGCTGTAACAGAGCCACCAACACTTGTGGCTGGTGGGCAGAGGTCACCCCAAGAGTTGTGCTGGCTAGCTACCTCTCCGGGGTGGCACAGTTCAGTGCAAGACCTATCTCCACCTGACCTTCTTGCCTCTCCTCAGAGGAGCTTGGGGGCAGCTGAGCAGGTAACACTCCCCAGCCTCAGCACAGACCTCCACTTTCCACATCTCTGCGAAGGCAGGCACACTGACCCAGAGCCCTGCAGCTCCCAGCTGGAGCACATCTTCTCCTTGCAGAGCTAGAGCCCATTGCGCAGGCACAGCCTGCGCAGAGTCCCCACAGGTCCCTCAGCTAGTGTGCACGGAGGCATGAAGAGCAGCCACAGGGTCACACAGTGACTCTCTGCAGCCCTAAAGATGTTCGTGTGCCATTTGGAGGCACTGGGACACCACAGCCCAGCACGCAAATCCTGCACGTGTGGTGCAGGGGACACTAGCTGCTTGACAGCTCAGCATAACTGAGCCCACTTGGAAAGCTCTCACGGATCACCAGGGCTCCTGGCTTTACCTGGGGAAGCAGTTTCTACAAGTCTGTTCCACCGGCAAGCTCCCAGGTCAAACAAGCCCAAGGTAGGCTCAACACCAGCCCATCCAACAGTTGCTTTCTTGCATCCCTCCTTCAGGGATCCCTCCATTTTAGCACTCAACTTCCACTGCCCCACGGAGGAGGTCAGACCCATGGCATGGCACGCAGCTCCTGAGGTCAGGCCTGCCTCTGCCTGCTTGCTCGTGGGGTCCTGATGCCGCGGCTCCTTGGATGGGGTGGGCAGAGTCTGCACGTTGGGTCTGGAGCTCCAGGTTTGCTGCCCACGGCATGCCACCACAGCTGGGAAGCTGCAGGCAATCCCTGCCAGCCTCACCGCAAAGGGAAGTGCATTGCAAGAGCTGCTTTTAAAAGGCAGAGAGATGAACCGTCATCCGAACGCTGACAGCACATCCCAGTGGTTCTGCATTTCCCCCCCGTCAGCACACTGATGTGCACTCAGGGGTTTTTATGGATGCAGATTTGTTTCCAGCAGCAAAGTTGGTGGCACTGCATTCACCCCGAAACCATGGGGAGGCTCTGGCCAAGCGGCAAGTAGTATCTATCGCTAACATGCAACTGCTGGTAACTCCAGTTAGGAAGGCACATGTGGCCGTGCAGAGCCGGAGCGGTTAGGAAGGTGGAGTGCCGGAGGGGGAAGCAGGGGGGAGGTGCCACGAGGAGAAAGGCAGTGCTGTATGTAAATACCTTCGGACGGAGTCTCTGTGAGCTCTCAGTCTTTTTTTCCTGTTAAAAATCCACAAAGAGGATGTGAAAGTTGAGAAGCGGAGGATCCACACTGGGCTTTGCACACAGGGAGCTGGAAGCCCACAGGTCCGGATGCTGGGAACCCATCCCAGCAGGCTGGAGAGCACTTGGATCCGGGGCCAGGCCAGGAGGTGCCCTCTGAGCAAAAGCCTGCCCGTTTCCATCACCTTCCCTGGGTACCCGCCGCCTCCGTGGCAGGTCGCAGAGGCCACCCCCTGCACGCAGCCAGCTGGGTACAGAAGCACAGAGCCGGCATACGGCCCACGGACTGTCCGATAGTGTTACACAGGCTGACGGCATGGTAAAAACGCACTCACAAGGGAAAGCAATCCTTAAATAAGTGTCTGAATGAGTAAAGCGGCAAGAGCCAAAGGGTAAGGACCCCCGTCCAGCCTCCTCCTGGGACATTCTGCACAATAACCTCACCTTACCAACAGCAACCAGCGCAGGGACAGGCTTCTCTGCAACCGCCCGACCAGGGAAACCTCACGCAGGAAGACTGGTCTGCTCCAGTCTTCCCACCCCTTTGCAGCTACCCTGCCCTCACAAGAGAAGGGGCAGAGGAGCCCAATGTAACACAGCCAGGCTGGCAAACACCGAGCAATACTCCAATAAAATTAACACAGCTGAACGAGGAAAATTAACTCAAAGATACAGAATCTGCTGGACTTTTTGTTCCAGGGATGTGCACAGACCATCTCTTCTGAAAGCAGAGCCCAAAGCTCAAATGCGCTCCCCAAATACAACCCATTTCTGAGCAAGCAGCAACCTGGGGATAACCCAATGCAAATAATCACCAAACACATAGGGACAGAAGACACCATTGCAAGACACGGAGCTGTTACGTAGTTGAAAGCAACCTGCCTTTTAAGCAGATGAAGGCAGCAGGTAGCCGCTGGGCACAGCAGGACTGCACGCCAGCCTCAGGAGCTCAGCAGGCAGCCACGGCTCCACGACACCTTCTCCTCCTTCCAGCCCCCATCTCGCCACATGCCTCTGGCCCACATCCTTTCATCTGGTTTCAGTTGCAAGGGAAAGCCCCAGCCCCAACAGCTGACACAGTTACTGTGCCAGCTACACAGAGACTGCACTATTCTCAGCATATGATTGTTGTCACATTGGGAGGCTGTGTTGAACCCACGCCACGAGCACAAATCTCCTGTTTTTCCTCTCCTGCTTCCACTGTCACAGCTACAGCACAGGATGGCATTGGTCTTCGCACAAAAGGGGAGACAGATCCAGGGTTAGGAAGGAAAAGTCTTTCACTGGGCAGAGGAAAACGGGCATCTTGTCCTTCTCCTAGTGGCTTTGGAAGATGTACCCCGCTGTGCTCTCAGGGGTCCTGGGGGCTGGCAGCTAACAATGGTATTAAAGGAAGCAGCACGGAGAGGATCTTGGCAAGGTAAAGGAACCATTTTTCAGACCACTTGCAATGCAACAACAGCAAGGAGGGTAGAAAACAGGAACAGGAGTATTCAGGGAAGCACTGCAGTGGTTCTGCACTGATTGATTTGCTGGGCTCAGGCCCATAGCAATAAAATCCCCCCTCTCACCCCTCCAGGAGCATACCTGTACGTCCTGGCACAGTCTCTTGAGAGGGGGAGACTTGCTGCACGTCCCGTCCACCGCTACCTCTTCCCTCCCCAGGTGCTTCACCACGATGCACTTTTTCAAAGGGGAACCCCTGTGAAAGGCAGGAGCTGTCAGACCAGGCTGTTCAGGCAGGAGCTAAGCCTGCCCTTCGTGGGCTTTACAGGCAGCACTGGAGGCAGAGCAGGGGCCCTGAGCTGCTGTTGTTGAGCTAGAGCATATGCCGCCATGCAAATTCCAGGCACGCCATGAATTGCCAAGGGACACCAGCCAGAGGAACAGAGCTCGGAGAATAGGAAAGGTCTGTGCACAGCTTACTGGGGATTTATCAGGCGCGATCCCTACGGAGGAAGCGGGGATCCTACAAGCACCTCTCACAGGTCACTGCTGGGGAGATTCCTTACAAATCCCAAATTTGCCTGCCTGTGACCATGAACAAGACCTCCCACAGCACCCAGGAGATATTAGGTGGCTGCTCCCATCCCTAGGCGTGACCAACTGTCTGTCTCAGGAGGAAGAAAGGCTTCCAAAGCCAGCTTATACATCAAGGAAAAGAGTGGGTGTTTGTCCCCTCATGAGGGCTAAACACAACCTACCTATAATGCAAACAAAATGATCTTATCTCCCTTCAGTCCTGTCAGGGTACCAACATACTGTCTCCATCAGTTAATTCCCAACTTCAGGATCACTTCTGTCCTCCCAGGTATCTTTTACAGACATATAAACTTATGTTTTTGAGTTTTAGAGTTTTAAATGCTTTTAAAGAGTTTGAATTTCTAACATGCAGACTATCTGCCCTAAATTTTCATGTTTGATCTAACCTACAAGACCACATTCAGTCTCATACAAGCTACGCAGACACTGTGTCTGTAAGCTTGGCAAAGTCATTTCACCATGATTATTTCCCTTTCTGTAAAACCTGATGATAGATCTGTCTCTCTCTTTATGGTTTACAGTATCTCAGTGACGGTGCTTAAAAAAATAAAGCAGTTTCACCATATACTTGTGTGCAGTCAGGCCCTGATCCTGTGCACGTGTTGGTGCACATCAACTGGAGTGCCTGTTCCTGTTTACACAGCCATTTCCCAAATTTGAATCGTTTCTGGTTTATTTCATTATTGTTCAATTAGTGGCTTTGGAGCAAGACTTAAGCCTCATCTTGACGTGCCCCACGGCACTGTGTCTGACTGCTCACAACTGATATGGCGGTGCATTATTCCCTCCCACTCCAAGAGCTGCTGCTGCTGCAGAACTGGGAGATCTGCCATGGGCCATAACAATGGTGGATCAGTCCGTCTCCAGCAAATCCTCCCATCAAACATGTGGGCCTTCAGGTCAGAACAGACAAGAGGAAAAGTTAAAAGAAAATATTTTTAAGACGAGGGAGCCAAAGCATGTATTACTTCTGAAAGGCTCATGTAGTGCAGCTCATGTCTGACCTGCCGCAGAGTCTGCCCACCTATGAAAACTTCCATTTCCATTTGTGCAGGAGCAGATTCCGGCAGTAATGCCCTTCTTACAAGGGAATCCGAACTTACTTGTTTTTACATTTCTGGAGCGCTTCATCTGCAATCTGCTTCAAGTTGATCAGCTTGTCCCCTCGATAAAAGGCATCTGCAAAATGATAAGGAAAACATTAGAGGGGCTTCACAGCCAAGGCAGCCTGGGACAGCTGGAAGCAAAAAGCAGTTTCAGGAGGGCAGAGCAGAGCTCATGCACTGGAGTGAGGGAAAGCAGACAGGCAGCTGATGGGAAAGGTTTCCTAATATGCCCTTTTAGCCTAGAGAAACAGATGCCAAGAGAAATGGTGACATTCCTTTCCTGGGAGAGGTTCCAATTTGACCCGACAAGTCTCTTGGGAATATTCTGTGGGGAATAATCCAACACGGCCAGAACACAGATTGCAAAGTTTAGTGGGTCGTTTCCATACCATGGACCTATTAATAAAAACACTATTTTTGCACTATTGGAAAAAACAGTTGGAGAAATGCAGTGGGCTTACATGCAAACACTACCCCTCTCTTGACCCCTTGCTTTACAAGGTGAGAGTTGCAACAGAAACTTCCTTGAAATTGGGAAGGGAGGGAATTCTCATATTAGGACTGTCTCATAAATTATACATCTTGCAAACATCTGGCTGATTTTGAAGAGGAACATGGATGAAAAATGTTAGGAAACGTGTTATTAGCAGCTGGTGACATCATGCTTTACAGGACAAAGTGGGTGGGCTGCTTAGATGCTTCACTGTATTTTCAAAGTGGAAAACAGTACTCAAGCACAGCTACAAGCAGTGCATCTGCCCTGCAGCAGCTCAGCTGAAGCACTGGCCCTTCCTCTTCCAAGTCCAAGTGCATTTGGCTTTTTAAATAAAGACCTTCTAGACAAGCAACAGTAATGGCTCAGGGGCACAGAAGCATGTTTTACCTGCCGTGATGAGGAGAGAACAACCGCAGTCGAGAATCCGCTCACAGAGAGAGTCTGCTGAGAATCCTGCAAACTGACAGAGATCACACAACCAAGTCAGCAAGGACAAAAAGAAAAACCCAACCCAAAAAACCCCAGCAGCAACTGTGCAGTTTACCCATGGTAAACGATACCACCACCAGGCACTGATAGAGAGAGCTAAAGGAGCTCATTCTACAGTTAATACAGAAGAGGGCTAGGAAACAGCACCTTAATTTAATTTCCATCCATCTCACAGTCAGCACCCATCTTTCCAGCTCCTCTCCCTCACTCTCCTGAAAACGAGAGTTGCTCCTTCCCAATAGCTCAGAACCAAAAGCAACACAAAGGGCTTGCTCCTACCACAATGGAGTGCAGAGCGCCAATCCTGGCGCAGGCAAGCATGGCTACAACCAGCTCCAGGATCATCGGCATGTAGATGGAAATTCGGTCTCCTTTTTTCATGCCTGTGGAGGGAAAATGAACACGGCATTTGTCAAAATGAACACATCACATGTCAAAAGAGCAGGATATAGAAAGAAATTAATGCTTTTAAAACCAACATTTATATGCACGCAATAAAACTTCAGCTGGAGTTAGAGCTAAACCAGCCTTGGGTTTTGCCTTTCAAGCCCTGTGGCTCTTGTAAGATTACTGCAATGAATACTCCCCATTCTCATGAGACACAGCCCTCGAAGGAGGCAGAAATTTAACCGCTGACCACTGCTACTGGAAAGCCTCAGAGCAGGAAGTTTTGAGCACAGATTTCCTTGTACAGCTGACATGACCAGCACTGATTAGCTTTCACAGACAGAGTCAGAGACAAATCTCCGAAAGTTTGCTGCAGAGTAAATCTGCATCCACCCTACTTTACAACTGTGGAAGCAGACAGAGAAGTGAAGCATTTTGCACGGAATTACTCAACAGACTGGCAACCACGCAAAAAATGAACCCAATCTCCAAAACCCTTCCCAGTATCCAACGCTAGTATTGCTTCAGCCGCGTACCTTGGCTGCGGAGGACATTGGCGAACTGACAGACTTCGTGCAGCAACTCGCTGTATGTGATTTTCGCAGAATCCCCAGGTTCGTTCCCTTCCCTGGAACAGCAAGGTAATATTTGTTATAGCACAAGCATTACAAGGTAACAGTGACGCTGCAAATTCAGAGGTACTACTCTGGACAACACATGTCCTCACCTGCCCTTCCGAGCACAGGGTAACCAAACCCCAGAAATCCAATCCTGGACTAAAGTTCCCCAATAGCAGGAAAATTTAGTGCAAAGTCCCCATCCCTGTGTAGATCGCTACACCTGAAAGCAATTGAACGCATGCAGTGGAAATGCATGGTACTTTCAGAGAAGCAAGAAGGGTCCAACAGAACCAAAGCTGAGTGCATACGCTCAAGAGCAAGCCGGGATTGATCGCATGGCACCCTTGCTCACATGCACTTATGCCTGCAGATATGTTTGCATGAAACATTGGCCAATGTTGTTGTGCAGCAACACCCAGCCCTTAAATACCTACCATCTGATGGACTGGGATGGAATACCAAGGGCTGTCTTATTTTCCAAGGTCATATATAAATATACTTGTGTGTATTTACTCAGTGCCATGCCTGCTCTACATTCTTCTCTGTGGTCCTCTGTGAGCCAGCTCTGGGCTCCTGCAGCTCAGGTGCCAGTTCAGTGGGACCTTGTCATTAGACACACTGCTGGGAAGAAAAGCCAAGAGCTACACCTGGAGATGGAACAGGAACATCACATCCCCAGGAAAATGGTTTGCTACCAAAGTAAAAACTAGCTAATTTTAGTGTGACACAACGCTTCAGCCATTCAAATGAGGTGGCACTCCCAACAGATCAGATTAACGAAGAATTTTAACTGACTTCACACTCGGCATAGCAGCGGTCTCCCACACCCAGGAAGAAGGGAGACGCTTTCCCAGGTCTCTCCCCAGGGCAGCCAGCACAGAAACATTAGTGATCCATGAAAGAATAGGGGTATCACTCTCAGCTGATAGTCCCCCTGGAAAAGCATCCCCTTGGGTATGTGCAGCCAAACAAAAAACACCACCGTTGCTGGGGAGAAGCCAGGAATCACCTCCATACCGTGTCCTCCCTCAGGACTGCAGCCAGGCTCCGTCTAACTCAGGAACAGAAACCTCACTTTAACATCTCAAACAGTCCAGAGCATACAAAAAAATATGTACTGAATTCTAGCTAAAACTGACCACTGCTCCCCCTTCCCCCAGCAACACAAACAGAAGGAGGGCCTCTGTGATGCAGAAATGCATAAAGAAACACCCTCCTTTCTCATGTAATTCTGTGCCATTCTGTGTCAGCACTACAGTGACCACATGCTCCAATGGCAGACGCAGTCCTGGTGGAAACAGTTTAAGAGTTGGGAGAGCCCCACCGATACAAGCCCTGCGCCTTCTGCCCCGTGTAGGACAGGGGTTTCAGAACTGGTAATTACACTTGGATCATCCCATTCAAAAGCTACTCGTGGATCTGCTGCTTACAAACTTGACTTATCCCTCTTGATACCTAGTTATACTCCTGGCTTCCATGGCGCTCTGCAGTGATTGGGTCCATCGATACCTGCACTGACGTGCACAGGGCATTGTATCTTCCCACTAGTGGCTCCTGAAAGGGGAGTCCCTGCTTGATCCTTTATGCAAGTTTGGCCCCTTTTAAGTGCAAAGAGGAGAGAAACAAGAATACAAAGAAAAAGAAAAGCGTGGGAATGAGAACCAGTGCCCAGGGCAGGCAGCTCAGCCTTGGCATCCGAGCAGTTTCCTCTCCTTTCCCCATCATAACCAAGAGCATCACTTTGAGCTAAATGACATGTGAAACTGTTAGACGAGGTTCCTTACAGCAGGTCTCTCGGCTAGTAAAGAGAAAACAGGGAATCAAGAGCATCTCCTTTTTGATTTTATTACTTCAGGGTCAAAGATCCAAGAGCTGATTTCAGTGCTGGACTGAGCAGCTGTAACTGAACTGGCTCAAAGGAAGAGCATCTGCTTCTGTTGCGTCTGGCTGCATGCTGAGTGCCTTCCCTCACCATGCAGAGGTTTTCCTTGGTGCATCTACACTGCAGGTGCAGCAACATCAAGGCCAGTGCTGTGCAAACCTGCTTGGGTCCAGACATGCAGTATCACTGTGTGTGCAGCTCTGCCCCTCAGCAATGAGCCTTGCTATGAAATATCTCTTAAAGACAATTATAGTGCTTCCAAATGCAAGCTGGAGCATCCCAGCCCACTAATCCCTCACCTGAAGATCTCTGCACTGGGGTCTGCTGGGCACTGCAGGCAGGCCCTGTGCAACCCAGCCCAGCATAAACCTGCAGAACAGGGCAAGGAGGAAGCACATCCCTTTGCCCATGCTCTGCCACAGCATAGGATCTAACTACAACCTTTACTGTGAGAGAAACACATTAGGAGGGAAGACTAGCACAGGCTGTCCCATCTGGAAGGCCTCCCATGTGAGGCAGGTAGGCAGGCAGGCAGCCCATGGCCATCCGTGCTATTTGGGGGCTCGGCTGGGCACTGTAGGTGAAGTGCTGTTTTGGCTGTCAGCAGACTTAGCCAAGGACACAGCAGAAAGCACGCTGGTTCCCCATGCCAGGGAAATCAGGTTTGCCCATCAACTTGGTGGTGCAATACCTGCCTAAGAAGGGAGAGGAAGGCTCTGCTTTGCGTGCAAAACTTGGGAGTTCTCCGACACAAGCCCTTCAATCCCGTGCTCCAAGAACTCCCAGCTCCCTGCCTTGAGCCTTTGCTGGCTGCATTTCTAATGCATCTCCTTAACAGATTCCAACAGAGCCTGGCCATGCCCTGCGAACAGCTCTCCACAGACACTGATTTGCTTCAGGCTGGGACGGTCGCTGCTGCCACAAGATGGGCTGATGGTGGGATGGAGACAGAGCCTATGTAAAAGGCTGCGCTGGGCACCCTACGCTTGCCTGGCAGCTGAGGGGAGACAGCAGCCAGGCCACACCGAACTGCGGCTTCTGGGGTGAGCAGCCCTGCATATCCCCTGGGGGCAGAGCTACGCTGCCTCCTCCACGTGGTACCTGCGAGGGACAGGGACCGGACCTGCCCTGAGCCACCCGGGTGCAAGGCACCGCTCGGACACCCCTGCTCTCCCTGCACACAAGAAGCACATCTCAAATACGCCAGGTCCTCCTCCTCACCAGGCTTCCGAGAGGGAAATTCAGGCCAGGGGATGCACCCGGGCTTGCCCTCAAAGCCAGCATGCACGGGGCACCGCGGAAGAAACGCAGAGCAAAGTCAAAGAGAAGTTAAAACTTTTGCAAAGATTTTCAGAGGGCTTTCAGAGTCCTTTCCATTCATTCGCATGACTGCGAAAGAGCTCCACTAGCATCAGCAGGGGAAACCTCAGGCTTCAGATTTTAAGACAATCTTGTGCTTAGTGGGAAATGAGTCACGTCCACATTTCTACAGGACAAGACGCCTCCTTTCACCGCATCGCCGGCAAAGGCCTCGGAGCAGTCTCTCAAGAGCAGTCAATTGCTTTAAGTCTCCCCGCATCTGAAAATAGTTTGGAGTGCCCACAGCTACACACAGCGGGCTACAGCAGCACTCAGATTGCTCTGTCCTTTTCTCTGGCACAAAAGCCCAGAGAATTTTGTATTTTAGATGGGGCATTTAAAGGAATGCCCACTCGCATGCTACCAAGTACTCTGTGTGTCAAAAGCGACCCTGTAAGCTCCTGGCAGCAAAGTTCTGCAAGCGGCATCTTCCCTTCGGCACCCATCAGATAAAAGCAAGAGCTGTCAGTCCTGAGCCTCTCACACGGACTCGCTTGTCCAAATTAAATGGAAAAAGAAATAAAAATAAAATAAAAAAACCTCAGACTTCTGAAAACATTATGGCAGTGCTTACGTCCATACCTACAGCATGCAGCCCAAGCCCTGCAGAATCCAACATCCCCCAAATACATCCTTTCTTAAGAACCGGTGATGAAAATAGTTGGCAGCGGCACTGCTGCAACTGCTAGCGTGCGATCTTTGATCTAACAGCAAGCCTTCTTCTGAAAGGAAAAACCAATTTTCAGCTCCCCAAACTTCGCAGATACATCATTTGATGAAATACATGACGAAACACAGTTTGAGCCTGACGTTTTCTCATCTCCCTCAAACTGAGTCCTGCATTTAGCAACTAGTAATCCAAAATTTTACAGTATCATTTGAGTCACAGCAGGAATGTATTTGCGTTTTTTAGCACTTGAGAAGCTCATGTTTTACGTACTGCGTGTTGTGTGCACGCTCAGCTGGAGAAAGGCATTTTTTGGCCATATGGTCTTCATGACCCACCCATCAACAAAGTAAACGCAAGTCCTTTAAACTAAACACACAGATGAACTGGGGACCTTCTGAGGCAGGTTTTCTCCTAGAAATCAGTGCTTTGTTGAAAAAGTCAGGTTTCATGCAGAGATGATAGCTTTCTAGCTGCCTGCAGCCATTCATTGCCAGGACCAGATAGCCCAAGGGCATCAGGGACCATCACCACAGTGGTGTGCAGGACAGTGGTGCCAAGGTCTGCATAAAATAGGTCCCTGTCAACATATTAGAGAAAGCACAGGCTCTGCAGAGCATTTATCATACTGCTCCCTTCTGCCAGCATTCAAAATAAAGGGGTCTCCACTTCTGAACAGGCCCTGTGACGCACACAAGCCCCACGGCACATGCCTCCGGTGGCCCCACCAGCCACCTCAGCAAGAAACGATCACATGGAGAAGTCACCCTGGGCGGGGGGGGGAGAAAACTTCAGGTGGGAAACCTGAACACTTATCACCTCCATGGTAAAGCCACACTTACAGGAGGATCATGGACTGACTGCCTGCTCAGCTGGGAGTTTGACCTTGCAGTGCAGAGCTGCACACCTATTTGACCTGGTGCCCATGTAGCTAAATCAAGGTTAAGCTTCTCTGTGTGAGTGACCACATCGGCTAAGCAAAAGATTTAGTGCTGCACATAAATTGTGCAGTAGGGAAAATGGTTTGTAGGAGCAGGCAAGGATTTCTTGAGAGCCACATTAACTCGAGCGTTGACCCTGTGGAGCAGTCAGGGATGCAG